ACCGACTGGGACATAAAGAGGAACCAGTGGCTCCCTTGGGAAATCACAGCTCGTGTCTGCATCTTAAATATCCCTGTGAAGTATCAATAAGTGGGTAATTGAATTTTGAACACAAACATGAGCGTGAGGTGTATGCGTCGCTAGGCGGGGGGGGGGGCTTGAATGTGGTGTGTGAATGTTTCCATGCTTGTGTATTTCATCTCCTCTGTGTCTCCCCTGTTCCCCCCCAGGGAAGAGGGCCACGAAAGTGGATGTTAAACCCATTAAATAAAGCTTACAGGCCGTAATAGCTGAGCAGCACTTGGGAGACGTGCAGCGAGGGTCAGAAAAGTCCTCTTCGCTCTTAATGAAAGTGAATCAGGGGCACATGGGGCCGGGGTCCAGGACTCCTCTTAACCCAGGTGGTCATCTGTCTTTGGGGCTAACAGGGGTCCCGCATCTCACTGGAAGCGTGCCATCCAGAGAGGTTCACGGTGGACTGATGATTACTCTCATTTCATACGCAGGGGAATTGCGGTCAGGGTAGGGTGGGGTAGTATTGTGACAATGACACCCAGATCAATCACCATAAAGGCGCGGAAGTAAGATGTTCCACTGCAGCGTTTCCTTTTCATTTACATTCCAACCACTTGTGATTTCCTCCAAATGAAAATGATTTAATGGTGCAGAGCACGTAGAATACATTTCATTTGTGACACCGAATTTCTTTTCGGTGTATAACTCTGTGCGGGTCTTTTTAATTTCGAAAAAAGCCGCCATTTTAAATAGCAGCAGAACGCATTCATCTGTTTGCACATATAGTTTAATCTTCTTAAGGACGATGTATTTAAGAGTAAGCTTGACTTTTGTCGAGGATTATAACAGTCTGAAGGCAGTATACAAGTAGTCAGCCCCCATTTTGATGAGCACAACCTCCAAAATCAAATGCCCCAAAGTCAAAGTACCACAAAAATCATGAAACCATCATCGTGCATGACAACATACAAGACTTCATAATTAAAAAGAAAATAATCATAGCTAATGGTGAGTACATAATACAAAGTTGACTCACCTCGATTAACGTTACAGTTAAAAATGTTAACATTGCATTGATCATTGCCTGTACAGTTAATAACGGCTTTGTGATGTGACAGGTTGTCCGAAAGAGATTTTACATGATCTCAGTTCCTTTTCAGTGTCTCGGAATGGGTTGGGTTCAACTTTTTTTTTTTTAGTTCCCCTTTATTTGTAGCCGGAAATAACAACACAAATTGCTTCTCGGCAATACAAGGTGGAGTGTCAGTAATTGCATACAGTCTACTGTTCCCCGATGGATGCGCATACCAGTTAAGTGATAATGAGATGGTGCCAAATCAGCAGGGCAAGGAACAAGCCCTGGCAATCCATAAGGTGTCATTTAGCCGTAACAAGATGCTGATTAACTTAACTGCAAAATTAGTAATTGACCTTTCTAATCAACTAAACAAATCTCTAAGTTCCCCTAATCAGTATTGATCTCGCCTGTTGTATGACAAAGCGTGCGTGTGTGTGTGTGTGTGTGTGTGTGTGTGTGTGTGTGTGTGTGTGTATGTGTGTGTGTGTGTGTGTTTTGAGTGCTTACGTTTTAGAGGTGAGGGATTGTGATTGGACTTTGTGCGTCGAGTGGCCTGTCAGCATCGTCCTTTATCTTTTTGCATCGTTTGTTTTTGAGCCGTTTTCCGCTTGAAAAAAAAAGCCAGATAGAAAAAAAAAATGATAGCTGTCTTCATTCAACACTATTTGCCGACATTTGCGCAATAAAAATCTAATCTATGAGGCAGCATTGAACTCATTCTGAGTTCCTAAAATGAAATAAATCCTGATGTTTACATTTTTTTTGCAAGTAGTTTTTGTGCACCAAAAAGTCAGATTGATGCTGGTTCTTCGAAATTACACAGACCACAACGACTCATTGGCAGGTATTGCTGTCGTAGCATCGCGGTTGACAGGCAACATAAAAGTAGTTTCCTATGACAAAGATGATTCGATAGTTAGTCGGAGTTTCTCAACAGGCTGCACGTGAAAACTAAGTGCTGATTTATGCAAGGAGTTGTAATTAATGAGACTCTCGGTGATGTTGTGGGGCCTCGAGGCGTGGCACCTTCAGCTCGGGCTCATCAGAAGGTGAAGAAAAGACGTACGGAGAGAGAGAGAGAGAGAGAGAGAGAGAGATCGCGACATCATAAATGAAATATAAAAATTAACTGCTGCAGACAGTCCTCAAGCATAACTGCCTTCTAATAAGAAAAGTGCAGGTTTGGGGTCACCCAAGTGTAATTGCGTTCAACCGTTTTGATGACTGTTTCAATCAGACACATCCTGTGCGTGTCCAGCTGTGCCCCAGATGTTTAGGGCGATGGGAAGGGGTGGCAAAGTGCAAAAATTAATTTGTGGCATTTGAATTAGCATCGTCTTTAACCTAATGGCAAACACCTCAAGGTGACGCGGAGCCCACGAGAACGAGTGCCATTATAATTCCCGACTGGGCACCTCATCAGAATTGCCAACTGGGCCCAGCTTTTTCATTAGCCGCCATGTGCAAGGGGGTGGGGGGGGGGTCTTTTTAGCAGCAGACCGTTGTCTCTTGCAGGCATTATGAAGGTGGATGACGTTCTGCTTAATGCCGTTTTGTAATCAGTACTCACTTATGCCCCGTACATTTATATTGTGTGATGTGCAAAATGAATTCACGGAGGTAATTCCAGCTCTGCAGCTCATAAAAGAGCCCGCGGAGCCAAGAGCTTCTTCTCATCTTCAAAAAAGATTGATTACTGTACCTGGATGCCGCCTCTCCGAGCTCTGTGATGATACTGGAGGAAAATCACAGAAGTTTCCATATCGGTCCACAAGGAACTTAGTAATGATCGGCTGCCTTCAAGACATCTTAAAAAATACGGACAATTTTGGTATTGATTCCGAGTGTTAGTCACCTGATACCCTTTTAAAAACATGCATTTCTTTAAAATATGACCCCAATATTTTCAGTGTCTTCTGTTCTTGGGCCTGGACCGAATTCCCTTTTTCCTCTGCACGATACTCACTGAGCTCGCCGCTGCTCTCCAGCGGGAAAAACCATTGGGAAAAACCAAGTACACGATGTACACTTTGTAGTAGGTCGTCATTTATTTCTCCCCAAACTAAAGTGCGTCGAGGCACATGGAGCTGAACAAGTTTTTCGACATTTTTAAAGTGGAATTTTGTTCCTATTCTGATCCAGTGCCATCCATTCATCGTGCTCTCACCATTTCTCTGCATTTATTTTATTTCATTAGTAAGCATACATTTTACACTGCATCTCAGCATTTGATGTACCGGTAACTGAATTTGTTTTGTTATTCGGAATTATTGAGCGAACAATTGCTCCATTGTTTCTGTTTAACACGATAGCAATCTGGAGCGTCAAGTTGTCTCACCACGTTGTAGTAGGAAACGGAATGAAAGGTGAAAACGTGACAACTTTCCAGCCTTTACCTGTCGTAATACATTCCACAAGTTACCATGGTGGTTGCATATTCCGCCCAACATTTTGTCTCACAAGCGCGAAATATTTACACACTGCCAGTAGTTGGTTTAAGGGTGAGGGCATTTTCTTTTTCGGAGTTGACGTCTTTCGATGACCACGCTTGTCATTGAATTTACCAATTTACTTAGTCATACCATTTTCCCCTTTGAAATTTATTTCAACGCCATTCATACTCCTAGATTCCAATCCCCCCCAAAACACAATTTGTTTTCATTATGTGTTTAAAAAAAAAAAAAAAAGAAACATTGCCTTGTCAGAAGTCGCCACAGCAAGTATATCCGGAACAGTTTTTTTTTTTTTCACGGGATGCCCTTCCTGTCACAACCCACCCATTTATATCCAAAATTTGAGACCGACTGTGGCCGGGGAATCAGCATCTGACATAAAGGGCCTTGCCAACTGGACGTTACTGAATCTAAACCCCGATTCTCCTTGTCAGAAAGTCATCCGTGTTACCCACAGAGCCATCCAACTGCTCCACGACACAAAACTGCATCCAAAATTTCGACCAGCTTCAGCTCTTGACTCGCCCAAATTCAATCGTCAACTCAATCTGCTGGGCCCAGAATAATCAACCCAACCTTGGTTAAAAGTAAACCAATCAGCTTCACAGAGAGTGCTTTAGGTCAGGAAAACAACCCAGCATTTTGTGTAGATATGGGTGTGGGTGTGTAACAACAAAAATTCATAAATTGGGGTACGGCTTAGTCACGGTACCACTGTTTTCATTTGAGACCTACTTTAACCCTTTCATGCATCCTGTAACCTGATAACTTCATAACCTGTCCACTGTAGTAACCGTTGTCCCTGAAGGGGTTAAGATAACCATGATAACATCGATTTTCCTTTTTCCCCCCTAATAAGAGTTTACAGCATTACTTGATCTAAAATAGTACACAATTCTGGTGGGAACAAACTCCGGCCAGATATGAGCGCGGAATAAGTGTTGTCCAGTGCAGTGGTCCGCATCCCCCTGCAGTCAAAAACCATGTGAAACATTGGTGAGAGAAGCTCGACTTTTTTTCTGTCACTTATCTCGCACGTGATCATGCTCCTTCATGACGTGATCAAAACAAATAGAGACGTTTTGCCTCTCAGTATTCCGCTCTTCTTTTGTTGATGCTTTGCATATATAATGTTCATGCACAAACACATCAGAACTCGTGTGCAATCAAGCGAATCACAAGGCTCCTGTTTTTTTTTTTTTTTAATGTTGTTTACCGTGTTGTGAGTGAACAGATGTTTGTGTAAATTACCTTCCCAGGGTGACACCGCGCGTATTAAATTCATGCTTTGCATCACTAATGGTGCGGCTCAAGAATGGATGGAGCTGCAGGCCAATGCTGATCGCAGATTGCCTGAAATGGCTTGGTGCTTACTTGTCTTGATGTGGCTGTTTTTTTTCCTCACACTTTTAATTTTGTTTTCTCTTCCCCTCTATCCCCCTTCTTTTTTTCAGCTAGGGAAATGACGAGAGGCAAGTTCCTGAACATCTTGGAGAGGCCGAAGAAATGACATCAAATATTTTTTAATAGCTGAATCCAACTAACTGATTAACTATTACCCCAAAATATTTTTTAAAAGTACTAAGGAAAAAAAATGTTTTAAATGTAGAAAACCAGTCGTATCAAAAGATGAATTGCAGAAAAGCTTTCTCCGGCTGCAGTCCGAGATCCTGTTGTCCTCTCATATTCGATTTTTATTGACTTAAGTTCCTGTCTGCTTAGGTTCAATCCTTCTTTATTTATATGTATTTCCATTTTATCGATGCATTAAATGTTTCTGCTTGTTTTTGGGAAACATTTTTATGTTTTGAATGAGAAGGCGGGCGTTCACATGATTCAACTTGGACAAAAGCTGAGTTTGAAAGTGAATGTTTAATTAGGGCAATAACTTGGTGCAGCCAGCAAGGAAGAAGCGTCTCACTGCGCCACCAGTGCAGCGCTTTTCTTTTAATGAGCTTTGGAAGCAGGGTCCCTTATACACAAAACATTGCGCAAAAATAATATTGCTCATTGTCGTCACCTTTAATCAAAGTTGACATAATTACTAGGACCATTTCTCTTCTAATTAGCACACTTCAGCATTGTCAGAGCAAGCGGTCAGGCAAAAAGAGAATCAGACAGGCATGCCGAATGGGAAACAAAAAGAAGTTGGTCGGCCATAATTAGGTAAGACAATGCCTCTGACTGTTCCCGGCTGGAGATGTCGCTCGGTCTCTGGCCGCTCGCTGCCAACAAGTTACACTCCTCCCGGGCCTCTAATAAGCCCCCAATCGTCTTTCCGATTCACACGGACAGAGGCCGCCTCTGCTTCGGTGACTTCACCTCCCACGCCCACCCAGGTCACCCATCTGAACAACACGGATCATTTGTACAATTTAGCAGGCCGCCGAGAGATGCTGTGTCTTAGTGTAGCAGCCCAATGGGGTTAAAATAGTACTCGTCTCTTATAGCCTAGATCAGTAGTCCTCAACCTTTTTTCTGTCACGGACCGGTTGAGACAAGTATATGCTGTTCGCAGACCGGTAAACCTTTTTTTTTTTCATCGCTTTTAAATTGCCAGTTTTAAAGCAACGGCACTGATAACAAAGATAATTGTAGAGTCATTCAACATTTTAACATTCATCCATTTCAAACGGTGTTATTCTACTACAAAGCAAAATGTAGAATAAAATAAAATAACCCAGTGAACGACTAAGAAATGGACTAATCAAGAATAATAAGTACGTACGCCTTATAATGTAAACATAATCATTTCTGAAGTTCACGATCCTACATACGGCGTTAGCATCATTGCTACTTGCAAATTTGACGCAATTGATTTCATCAACAGGTTTTTTTTTTTCTGAAACATAGCTATAAATTACAACACATGATAATGTTCGTTTTGCGGTAATGTTGATAGGTCAAACAGAAAATAAAATCACAATAGCCTGATTTGCTCAAAAAAAAAAAAAAGAAAAGTAAAGCCACTCTTGAAATCAGCATCAAAAATCTATTAAGGTACACATAAGGCCATGTCGGAGTAACATTTGCTGTTCACCGGTGTAGTCAATAAAAGTAAGGATTATTTGTACAGTAAATTTGCTGTAGCACCCAGTTAAGCATGACAGACACTTGTTGATGATGACGATGGCATGCCGTGCTGACATGCTAACTACACTGACGCTATCAATATTGCCTGTCACCACGTTTGGCTGGGTCAGTGTCCACAGGCCCGCTCATCTGCATGGAGGCAGACAGCCTGGTGGGGTTGGTTCAAGCCTTAACCCCACATACCCTCTGAGCCCCAACAAATGTCAGTCCAATGTGCCCTCACCCCCACAGTCCTTAAATTAGCCGTCAATTAGTGCAAATTAATCAAGTCCTCGCCTAATTAAGCAATGTCTGCGGGCAGCTACCAAACATGCCATTAATTGCGGTAGGGCCATGAGAAAGCTGCTGACCTTGCAAAACGTTTTTTTTTTTTTTTGTTTTGTTTTGTTTTTTATATGGGGGAGGGTGATATCTTTGGGAAAGCAGCGGACCGCTTGGTCCTGCTTCCTGACTCTGCTTCACATGGGTGCTGTCATCAGGTTGGAGCCGTCTCCTGGAGTTTCTTTCACTGCAGAATGCCATCATCATCATCATACATGGTGGTGCTCTTGTTCCTCTTCAGACTTTTTGTTTGCTTGATTTTGTGTATGTTAAAAAAAGAAGAAGTCAGAGCATCTGTTCACTTCTTAATTTGCATGCTCTTTGATGGGCACCACCAGTCACACCACGTACTGTAAATCTTGCCTTAATCTGAAGACTTTAGGCGACGTCTCCTCTGCATACAAATCGGCATGCTGCCATGCTCATGCAGGAGAATAGTGCAAGCCATTTCGCGCCGCCCTCCATCAACAAGCAAGACGCTTGCACAGATGAACTGATAAGAGTGTGGGGCAGGGGTGGCATTAAATTGCCTGTAATTGATTGGCCGTTCAGACACGGCCTATTCCCAAGGGCATATTTCCAGGAATCTTTCAGCGGGATGGCCTGAGTGACATATCTTGCTGGCCTAAGATGCGCGTAAGTATGTTTGTGACCTCCGCTGTAACTGGGAAGTGATTGTTTATCATACCATCCACATAGTTGGGGTGTCTTGAAATTAAATGCACACATATCCGGAACCTTGCTCAACACACTCATAATACAAGCATTTTCTAATCTGTTTATCGTCACAAGGGTGTGCTGGAGCCTGATTGCGCGCCAATCGCAGGGCAACAACACAAATAGGCAGCTCACACCGCACTTCCTGTTTTTACTTTTATTTTGAAACCTGTTCACAACAATTTTAGGGGACAAACGCTAACTTTATGACAGCAACAGTACAGTAATCGGAGGAGGCTTTTCCCGTCATGCTTTGCTGCCGGTCGGTATAAGTAACTTCTGATGCCTTGTTAACACGAAATTTTATACAAACGGGGTGTGGTATATAACCATATTGCGTTTGTTTCTAGTCCTGTATTAAAATTGAATACAAGTCATAAAATTTAATTTAAATTATTTGGACTTAACAAACATCCGCGGTTCGAAATAGACGTGGACACCTGGTGGAAGATGTGGTACACAATGACATCTTAAGCATCTTTGCCTACTATGGTCTGAAAGTAATGATTTTGATTGATAATGACTGTAAGAGCCACATCTTCTTTTCGTATTGATATCAGTTGTCATTTTATTTTCATGGTATTTTTTAAATATGTAGTAAATATAAATGAATTGTGTTCGAATATCAAGGGAGCTAAGGATAATGCATCCGTGTGAAAATAGAAGGACAATCACAGGAATCTAAATTTTTTCTTCTCTGTCGGGTGGCCAGAGAGTGACCACCACGTAACTCTGCCAGTGCCTGGCCACCCCCATCTCTTTCCGTGTTAATAAATGGCTCCATCCCAACAGGCTGCATGTGTCATTAGCATATCCTAATAACATTGATCTCTTCATTAATGGAATTTCCACTAAATAGGCCCTAATTAGTTTCAACAGGACCGGCACTAATTGGCGCACCAATATGTTCCTGCTTCCAAATCAGCGGCTCATTTCCAAATGTTTGATGTGAATTACGACTTTGTTAGTGGATCAGCGGATGTACACGCAGCGATGACTCTCTAAGTCAATGTTGCACTTTATCAGTTGTTTACTCAAGATGACATGCTAATGTATGCAAAGGATGCCAACAGGCTGGAGCACCTGAGGTCAGTGTGATAGTAAATAAATACTCTGCCATGCATTTAAATGCGCTGTTAATTCTCAACAATAAAGGCTGCTTTCCCAACAAAGGATTGACGAGTCTGTCACTGCCAAGACAAAACACATTAGGAGGCATGCTTTACTGCAGCCATTGGGCCCAAAGTGCTTTACATGTCAATACAGTGCATTTGAAAAATAATACATGTAAGTATTGTCTATTATTATAAGTGTTATTACCAGCAGTCATAGTAGTAGTACTGGGTGTAAAAAAATATTCACCATCAGGGGCAGTGTCCATTTTTATCAAATCCAAAAGGGAGATTTATGGGGAAAAAAATCCATCCAACAAATAAACATTTTGATGGACCACTGGCTGTAGGTTGTCCACCCTCCGTGTAATGTCTTGCTGTTTTTTGTGTCTAGAATGTAGTTTGTTTCCCCTTTGTGTTTATGTTTCCCTTTTTTGACCAATAACAATATTGAGTAATATATTTTGCCCCTGTTTGACCAGTTAGCACATCCGCCTCACAGCACAGAAGTCCAGGGTTCGATTCATGGGCTCTGGCCTTCTTGTGTGGCGTTTACATATTCTCCCCATGCATTCATTTAAATTGAATCATTACATTTTTTTCTTCCTATTTTTAAAAATAACATGTTCAAACTGGGACGCCACCATGTTCGAATGGTTAACATGTCCACCTCACAGTACAGATGTCCAGGGTTCGAAACGGTGCTTCAGCCTTCCTGTGTGGCATTTGCCTGCGTGGGTTTTCTCCGGGTGCTCCCGTTTCCTCCCACATTCCCAAAACATGCATGATAGGTTAATGGAACACTTTAAATTGTCCCCAGGTGTGACTGTGGGTGTGAATGATTGATTGTTCATCTATGTGTGCCCTGCGGTTGGCTGGCACCCAGTTCAGGGTGTACCCGGCTGACTGCCCGAAATGAGTTGGGATGGGCTCCAGCACATCTGTGACCCTCGTGAGAAAAAGTGGCTTGGATAATGGGTAGATGGATGATCACGTGCATGAGGTAGAGTAAGACATTCAATCAACTTTATAACTATGTAAGAAAAATATGAAAAGTTGAAGAGAATATATAGCTTTGCTCTACCTATTCCTTTGGAAAACTGTATGATGCATTCTTTTCTCTTAATTTTTTTAGATTTAGTCTCAGGACAAATACATTTACTCAGAAACGGAATGTTTTAGTATTTTGTGTGAGGATTATTTCAAATTTGATGGAAAATTGCAATATATTGCCTACATCACTAAATTAATAATAATTTATGTTATACAATGATAATCTCTATCTCTCTCTTTATACACACACACACACACACACATCTATATATATATATATAGAGAGAGAGAGAGAGAGAGAGAGAGAGAGGGAGAGAGAAAGAGAGAGAGAGAGAGAGAGAGAGAGAGAGAGAGAGAGAGAGAGAGAGAGAGACTGCTCAAAAAATAAAGGGAACACTTAAACAACACAATGTAACTTCAAGTGTTCCCTTTATTTTTTTGGAGCAGTTTATTGTAGTTCTTTTAAGGTTGTCGTTATTTTTAGACGGACACAATGTGGCCCACTGGCCACAGGTTGCTCACCCGTCTGCTCATAATATCTTACTGTTTTTTTTTCTCTCTTCAGTGAATAAAAAGGAGGAATGGGCCAAGATTTTTTTCCTTCCCAAATTGGATTCATTTCTGAGAAATATTTCTGCCACACCCTCTTTTCATTTTATTTGGTTTTGTTTTTCGTTTTTTTTCTGTTTGGTGAAAAGATTCGATAATGGACCGAGTTTTTAAAAAAATCCACGTTTTAATCTGTATTTGTTATAATAACAAATATTTTTGACACAGGACACATAGGACTGTGAGATAGAGGAGTTAAATTGTGCCACCTTGCTTCCAAATGCATACATTATACAGATATGCTTATATTTGCTTTGAGAATCGTATGGTATACAGTTGTGTTATTATTATTATTATTATTATTATTATTTTATAATGTCATGTGACTTGGCCATTTTCCATCCTCTTTTGCCCACTCAGCCTGCATATGTATCATCTTCCTCTCTTCTGCCTGCTCTTTAATCTGGTGCTGTGGGATTACTACCAAACGTTCCGGGACCAATCACGTATGCAACAAACAAGCACACATAGCAGGCTGGCGTCACGTCGTCGGTCCACTTGTCGTGTTTTGTGGAAGGCCTTTGATTATTTGCATGTGATGAATATCTAACACACACATACACTGAACTCACACACAACATCTGGAGATCAATTAGGCATCAATGAAAACCATTGCGAGAAAGTGTTTTGTTGAAAATGTGTTTATCCCCTCCCCCCAAAAAGAGTGTGATAATTAAATGCACCTAATTTTAAACGATATGTCCTTTCCGATCGTAAATTGCTCGCGCGTTTCTAGTCATGGGATTTTATTAGTGTGAGAAAAGGGCGTCTGTCTAAAAAATGCATCCATGATGATCCACAGGAATCCTGAATCCTCGCTGCTGATTGGCTGCTGGGCTTTGCCTCTGGACCTGTTGGATAAAGGGACCATTTTGTGAAGAAGCCCCCGCATGCACTTGTTGTGTACAGAGGGCCATGCGCTGGGGAGCAGCCTGTTACATCCATTAAAAAAAAAAATCCCAGCCGAAGCCAAGCCACCATGACGGGCAAACAAGGCGCAGTGTTGTCGGCAACTTTGAACCCCGTGGAGACACGAAGACCTCCTCTGGGTGCAAACGGAGGCAGCAGCGTCAACAACCAACAGCAGCCGGCCAAGACCACCGTGATCCACCCGCCCAGCAGGTGCACGGGCTTCGGCATCCAGGAGATCCTGGGACTCAACAAGGAGCCCTCCTCGGCCCCCAGGAGCCCGCTGAGCTCCTTGCCGGCAGGGGCGCATCTCATCGCGGCCAGGTCCGTGCTGGGCCACGCCGGCGTGGGTGTCGGGATGGGATTAATCGGCCCCGGTGGGATTCCGGCGTTTTACCGCCAGCCCGCGTTTTTGGAGGGCGTGCTGGACCCGCAGGATGTTCACTTGCGGCCGCATAACACCTCTTCTGCAGGGCGGATGGACGCCGGGCAGTCTGCAAGCTCCGGTCAGCCTCTCTTTTCATTAGTTCATGTTGGAGATCAGATATATATTAAAAAAAATAATCATGCGTTTATATCTGGCAAGACAATATAGGAAACACTGACACCACAGGATGAAAACACAGCAACACACATTCTAGTCAGTCGTGTGTTTTGAATGAATGAATGTACTAATTTAATATTTCAAACAGACGATCATTTTTTCCCCCACGTAAAATATGAAGCAAATACGCGATTTCATGTGTGATCAAATGCAGTACTGTCATTTTCCTTGTGCAGACTCGGAGGATTTGTCTTCCAGTGAAAGGAAACTGTCAAAGTCTTCAATAGCTCAGAGCAAGAAACGCAAGAAAAGACGCCACAGGTCAGTGATGATTTCAGTATTTAAAATCTGCTTTGAAAATAAAACAAAACAATTCAAACAAACAACGAAAAAATACATTATGTTCAATGACAATTTATTTCGGTATAACGCTTTTAAATTGTGTACTGTTCAATCAATTTCGCCTTTCCTGTGCCATAAAGAATTCTAAACAATAAAAACGACCAAATTCGTCTTTTTTTAATACAGGCGATATAGTAAACATTTTTTTTATATGGGTAATTCGAGCATGATCGTTTTTTTCTTTTTTCCCCCCTCAGTATTTGTTCTAATTCGATGTGGTGCTTAAGATCACGGCATTTTTTCCCCAAATATATATTTTTATGTGTTTCAGTTTTGAAAAAAAATCAGATATGCAATTCGAGAAAAATAGGGACTGGGGTGGATCGGTTTGTGCATGAAGTAAGCGTGGTATTTTTGTACAAACAGGACCATATTCACCTCGTACCAGCTGGAGGAGCTGGAGAAGGCCTTTAACGAGGCCCATTATCCAGATGTATACGCACGAGAGATGTTGGCCATGAAAACGGAATTACCCGAAGACAGAATACAGGTCAGACTCTCACACACACAACGAAAATACAGCAGGCCTATGAAAACATTACCACAAGCTATTTCAAATCAAATATTTTCCTAATTCTGCACCATTATCATTTTTCCTCTGCAGCATGTAGCAGCTTTTTTAAGTCTAAAAAAATATCTAGAGCTTTTTATATATATATATATATATATATATATATATATATATATATTGACCTCACTTCGATATCGAGGTCGAAATAAATATCGAGATCCATATTGAGGCTGTTGTTTTAAAGCTCTATTATGAATTCCAGTCACCTGTTGATGTGTTTTGAATTTGAAGTCACATCTTTTTGCCTATATATAAATCATCTCTTTATCACTGTTGCGTGTATATGTATATTAAGTATAACTTTTATTGTATACATTAGGGATGCATCGATCAACAACTAGTCAACTAGCAAATTAATCGATAGGTATTTTGATTGTCAATCAATCGCTTGGAGACCTTGTTTGATTTTAAATTGTCCAAATCCTCTCAATTACCAGCCTCTCAAACAGGATAAAAAAAAATCTGTTTTTTTGCATTCCTCCATGAAAGATGACTGATGATCCCTATGTTGACATCAGACATTTGCAAATATCTGTAAAAAACTGTGATCCACGTTTTTTACCTCTTTTCTGACAAGTAACATACTGTAGTAACTGAATCGAAATTTGAAAATAATGTCCTGATTTGAAAATAAAGGGTTGGACCTTAAAATATTATAAATATATAAATATAATATAAGGGTAATTCAATAATTGTGACTTGCAGCCATATATATATATATATATATATATATATATATATATATATATATGAAGCACAATATTAGGAACATGCAATTATTAGATTTATTATTATATAATAATATATATTAATTATTGTTATTTAGATCAGTTCTTTTCACCTGACCATTGGAGATGTTGGATGCATGTCGATCATCAGTGTTTCTACTTCAATAGTGAGAGAATCTACTTTATAAATCATTTTAATACATAATGCGTGTGTGTGTGTGTGTGTGTGTGTGTGTGTGCGCGTGTGCGTATGCAAATAGAGTGTGAAAGAACAATCTTTATCCATTATAGGCGATAACCTAAATATTGCTCTTTCACCCAACACTTTATTTGGAGCATTTGCAAAAAATTATAAGATTGATGCCTAAAATTTACCTTTTAAAGCATAATACTCTGTTTTGATTAACACTGCCAGAGGAACAAGGAATGTTTTGTTGTGGTTGTTGTACGTCCTCAGCATCAGCAATATTTGGGTTTTTTTTTCTAAGTATGCGATAGGTACCAACGACAAGCGCAACAATTGCAAAATCCGCAAATTTCTTTGAGTAAAATTGATCTTTATGTACCAAATGTTCTGGCCTGTAGGCGAAATGCAAGGTTTTTGAGAGGCGACGTTTGCACACGTTTCCCGCCCGTGCATTTTGCACGCTGACGTTTCTCATCTCTCAGAGAGCTGAGTGATGCCTTCCCCCAGCCCTGGACACATCGTTTCTCATCAGGCTCACTTGGAAAGTGAAACAATTTGTTGTGTGCAAGCAGACACTAACGACCTAATCAAGCGATCAAGGCGGAGAAGATTGCGGCGTGACCCCTGCACCATCCATCTGCCTGCACAAGCCCGCCTTTTAATCTCGTTTCTCATTAAGGCCCCGCGACATCTCCCAATAAATAATACTAGATGCAAATAAATACATAAATAAATAAATAGAATCAGGCCGGCTCCTCTGCGAAATAAAAATTAACACCCAATTTTTGCTCATTGAGCGTAATTAGTTAAATGAAACCGGCTTGGGGGGGGGGGGCTGCCACGCAAGGTGCGGAGCTCAAATGAAATAACTACATTGAATTTATTAGCACGGGTCAATAGCGTTGCTCCCCCGGGTGCCGCTAGTTTAATTTCCCGTGATATTTGCCCGCCTGGCCGCCATCGATCGAGCCTGAAATTAACTTATTTTTCAATCAGACGGCGGTGTGCCCCAGGGTAGCTTCTCCTCCTGGCAGCAGCTTCCGGCTCCCTTTGACGTCAAGCTTTTACCTTAGACGTCATCTTAAGGTCGTATTGTTTCCACAAATTCTGTGGAACCCAGGCACACATTTGACTTTTGAAAGAAATTCTTGCCACACCTCTCAACAAAAATGTCACCAACATGATTAGTGTTTGGCCATTTGACCGTGATAGAAACACCCAGAATATCATTCTTTGACACAAATGTAAACATTTAAAAAATTAAACAGCAAAACACTCCAAGTGATGTACTTTATGTATTTTTATTGGACAATGGGGAACAGGGGGCCTTGAAACAGTCCTTAAAACTGTCTATTCCCCACCATATTTGCACAGGTTTATCCAGAAAAATGCACCTGTTGGTCTTCAAACGGTCATGGGGGAAATGAGAATGATCCCATTTTGCTCCACTCAAGGAACAGAAGTCAGAGGTCAAAAACTACCTTGACAGATATGAGATTTACCGCTGCCAAAATTCTACTTTCCCTTTTCTCTGAAGCATTGACGAAGGATTAATGACCGTTTTCTAAATGTCAGATAAGCTGTTGCGAAAACATATTGAAGTATTGAAGTTTAATAATTTGATAATTCTCATGAGAATGTTCTTAAAAATCAACCTGGAACACACTATCATTTCTGTGTGCACGGATAATAAACAGTAGGGGAAGACTGGGGCTTGATGTCACACTTTTTACATTTTGAGATATTTCTTGAAAAACAACACATCACGTCAAAGCAACGTGTGCATGCACCAGAGGAAAGTCCCGTGCACCCTGGAAGATCCCGCAGTTTGATGGACCCAGAATTACATCTGAGCTTTTTGTCGGTGATGTGGTTTTGACGGCTCCATCAGATTGTCGACTTTAACTCTTGCTGGAGCGGTTGACAGCCGTTGAGATGAGAATCAGCACCTTAAAACTTGAGATGATGGTCCTCAGTTGGGAAAGGGTGAGGTGACCTTTCCAGGTCGGGGATGAGAACCCGCCCCCAAGTGGAGGAGCTCAATCAAGTCGGGGTCTTCACGAGTGAGGGGAGTATGGAAAGGGAGATCTACAGGTGGATCAGAACTGAGCTGAATGAGGAAGGTCTCGATTACTGGTTGAGCTTCGTTCCCACCCTCACCTATGGTCATGATCTGTGGGTTCACACCGAAAGAACAAGATCACGGTTTCAAGTGGCCAAAATGAATTTACTTCGCATCGAGAGGAGCCTCGTGAGGTGGCTCGGGCATCGGTTGCGGATGCCTCGTGGACGCCCCCTTGATGAGGTGTTCCAGGCACAACCTGATGGGAAGAGACATCAAGAAAGAATCAAGACACGCTGGAAAGACGACATCTCTAGGTTGGCGTGGGCATGTTTGGGATCCCTCGGAATAGCTGGACAAGGTAGCCGGGGATAGGGAAATCAGGTTATCTTGCTCCCCCCGAGCCAACCCCAGCTAGGTCGAAGCAGGTACTCCAGTGAGTCGCCTATTTGTGTGCAGTTATTCATCAAGTCACCTTGAACACTTCTCACTGTATTTGTTCTTCTTGAGAATTGTGAGAAACATTCTAACTTTATTTTGTCCCTACATCACTTTGACTGGTTTGGGTTTAACTAATTTTCATGCATTTTTCATCTGAGGTGACGGTTACAATTGAGGGATAGGAGAACTCACACACTGAATGTTTGGAACTCATGTTTCCATGTCAGTATTATAAAAAATATTAAGCAGAAAAATGCTGCATGGGTGTAAGCCTCAGCTGCCAATTTCTCCTTCTCTGGACCTCAAACTAGGCTGAATCAGGAGCACCTGTGCACTTTCCATTTAAGTATTGCACTCCATTTTGCCTCAATTGCTTCAAGACGTGATTAATCAACAATTGATTCCGCACGATTGAACTGATCAGTGAATCCAGTAATTGGTCATTATGTCCAGCTCCACTGTGTACAATCCTTTACCGGTCCATCATTGTAAACGAGTTCCACATTGCTGTTTCCATAATGATTGAGAATGTAGTCATCATTGCCATGTTGAACACAGTTTATCATCAACCACATTTTGGGGGACTCGAGTTACACGACTTGACTCGAGTCAGACTGAAGTCGCTGATTTTTGGCCTTGCTTGGCTTGAAAGACTTGACTTTGACTTGATATCATGAGACTGGACTTAATCTAAGTTTCGACTTGAATCACATATGAATAGGTGAAATGCTAAACTGAATGCGTGAGTTCTCTGTCAAGAAATAGAACACAGTGAGATTGGTTAGGGACCCATTAAACACAACAAGTACAGATACTTCATGCAACGTGGCTAATGTGTGAACGGTGCATAGGTTGTGACGGATGGAGATTGTATGACCTGACTCAAAACTTGCTTATCGCAAGTAGTGACTTGACTCAACTTGCTTGAAAGTTAGTGGGGGATTCGACTTAACTTAAGAATCTATTTGATCAACTAGAAATTGCTGTCATTATAAAGCCAGCCATCTCGTTACCTCTGTGTCCCGCGTTCGAGACGCATAATTTTCCCGCCAGACGCACAGTTCCAAATAATGTGCGTTTTTGGGACGCAAGGAAATTTCTCAGTAAAAAAAACCCAAAAAAACTACGGTAAATCTTTTTTTACAGCAACGATCGCAGTTTGACAATCGCCGCCATTGTTGTTTTTTGTGTTATTATCATATGCAATTGAATAAGTAGACCATTTCAGAATTCGAAATTTGGGACTCTCTAAATGCATAATGGGACTCATACTTTTCTGATCAGCGAGTCCCTGGGACTCGCAGGGCTCAAACTGTAAGATTATCACTGTAGAGCAGTGCAATGGTAAACAATTGCAAACTACGAGTACAGTAAGAAACATTTTGTGTCCTTCCAGGTGTGGTTTCAGAACCGCAGAGCCAAGTGGAGGAAGAGAGAGAAGTGCTGGGGTCGCAGCACCGTCATGGCCGAGTACGGCCTCTACGGGGCCATGGTCAGGCATTCCATCCCTCTGCCGGAGTCCATCCTCAAGTCGGCCAAGGATGGCATCATGGAGTCCTGTGCCCCCTGGTTGCTAGGTGGGTCACTTTCCTCGGCTTTCTGTTCCTCATTCTCGTGTGGTCAACCACAATCCCTGCTTCCATCACTGACACAGAATATTCATCATTTGCCTCCACCCTCCCTTCCTTCCTTCTTTCCTTCCGTCCTACTAAACTACCAATCAGCAGACGCTATTTTAAATCCGAATGGCCGCAACGCTTTGCAGGGATGCACAAAAATATATGAAATAGCTGCTTGCATTGATTATTTCTACCAAATTCCTGTCTTGTGCAGTTCCTACCTTCCTTCCTACCTACATAAGAATTTTAGCCTTTTAGCAGTGGGCCTTAAACTTTATTTTCTTTCTTTCTTTTTATATACTTGTCTCTAGAACCATCCACTTAAACATTAAACATCCATTATCCGAACCGCTCATCCGCATGGAGCCAGGGGTACACCCTGAACTGGTTGTAAGCCAATCAATCACATAGCACACATTGACGAACAACGAGCCGCGCTCACAATCGCATCAAGGGATGATTTAGAGTGTTCAATTAACCTATGGTGCATGCTTTGGAACGTGGGAGGGAACCGGAGTACCCGGAGAAAAGCCACACAGGCACGGGGAGAACATGCAAACTTCACACAGGCCATATTCGAACCCTGTGCTAACCAGTCGACCACGGTGGCGCCCAGTTTGAAAATGTTATTTTTAAAAATAAGGAAATTAAAAACTGCAATGATTAAATGTATTGCATTTAAAAGCAATGGATTTTACCCAAATAAATGTTTGAAAATAAAGTACACAAAATTTAAAACCTGAAAATAACTGCATTGTCCCTAACAAATGTTCTGAACTGGATTTTAAAAAAAGTTTATGATGCGCGGTTTGAACATTTAATTCAGTATTACATAAATGGCACGCATAGCAAATCATCCTTTTTGTTTTCAGCAAAACCTAATGTTGCACGTTCTCCGTTCCATTGACTCCCTTCACCCTCCAAGCTTGTTCAGCTGTTGTCCTTTGCAACATTCTATTCTAAACCACAACCTTCTTTGCTTGCTGTTTCCAGTTCAAGATGGCTTACCAATCAACAGACGCTATTCTAAATCTGAATGCCCGCAACTCTTTGCAGGGATGCACAAAAAATCCATGGAGACCCCGGCGCCCCCTCAACCGGCGGCCGCCAATTGTGACGAGCCGCCGCCGCCGCGGCCCAGCTCTCAGAGGGCCGAAGACTCTGAGGTGGAGGAGAGGAGGCCGAAGTGCGAGTCAGCCATTTCTAAAGAGGAACTGAGAGAGAACAGCATCGCTGCCCTTAGGGCCAAAGCACAGGAGCACAGTGCCAAAGTGCTCGGGACGGTTTGTCACGACAGACTGGACAAGGACGAGCAGGAGAAGACCGGTGCACCTCGGAGTCCCGCCGAGGAGGTCCACAGCCCTTAAAGACTGAACACTCAAAGGCAGGGCGTTCACCTCTCATTGGCTCTTCTAAAGCGCCCTGTATCTGGACTCTCATGAGGATGACTCATTGCTACGCAGAAGATGCAGTTGCACTTTTTTTTTTGTCTACTTCCAAATATTTTGCATTTTACATCCTGAATGGTGACAGTTTCATTGCAAACCATCCTGCCGATGGTCCTCTTAAAGGAGGAGGAACGTCATTGTTGTTCTGTGTCATGCTGCATCTCAGGGGTTGTCAAACTTTTTGGGTCCAGGAACCCCTGATAGTGTAAAAACAAAATAGAAGAATCCCCTCATAATCTTGACACCAATTCACCATTCCTACAGAGAACTACCGAGAACTAAATGCGATGGGAATTGCTTTTCATCTTTTGAGAGTTTTAACCTAAATAATTCTGACCTGTTTCAATGAAAGAAATTTCCCAAATTCAACTGAGTAAAGTCCGTATTTATCCATTGTAGCTAGCTTACGTGGACTATACTCCCACTAGTAAGTGTTGCCATCTTCACGATTTGGAAGCTATATTTAGCAACATTTTTGATCACTCTTGGAACTACATAAAAAAAAAGAAAAGCATCTAGCAAGTTTTATTCCCATTAAGAAAATGACAATATGAGCGGAATCATTTTCAACATTGTTTTCTGCATGACAAAATGAGAGTTGAAGGTAATCATTGTGCTGAACATTGCCAAAGACATAGTGCCCATTAATAAGCTGCAAAAGCAGTGGTTTATCTACATGTTTGAAACTTTTTTGCTTCCAAGACATTATGAATAATTTGACTCTCCTGCACAACTGTACATGAGAAAGAAGTGTGAGAACGAGAAATGCATAATTGTCAGATGTGTTACAATCAAATGACAGCTGAGGTAGGGAGGGGTAATTGACGTATTATGTGTGTTTAATTGGCACACTGGTCCTCATATGCAGGTAAACACATAAAAAATTCCCACGACATATTTTTTTTCCAAATTATTTTCCAGACCCCAAGTTAAGGCTAATGGACCCCATGGGGTCCCCGGACCTCGGTTTGAGAACCACTGCTGTACTGTATATAACTGATGTATTACATGACACGATTTGAGTAGTTTCACTTCCAAAAATGTACCACCCATAAAGCATCCAAAAAGAAATCATCTTTTATTATTAAATGTGACTTTCTGGTGTCTGTCGTCGAATTCTTCTTGTGCCCCAACTGGTCTGACGCCGCAAATCGCCCCCTCGGCGCAGAAGCTACTTGTTGATGCTCTGTCGGCTCGCCTCATTAGCACAACGCCCCCCAGCCCCCTCCAGTTGCATGCCTGGGTTAACTCCTATAATCCGTCGAGGTTGAGAGCCTTCAATTTCAGATGAAATTGGAGGGGAGGGGGGAGGGGCTGGGCACGGAGAGCGAAAACAGCCACAAGCAGAGAGCGTCTGATTTGAAATCACTTTAACAGCCAACAATCACTTAAGCCGCTCATCCGTCCTCTTATCTACAGCCAAAGAATGACAGCTTGATTTCACACCCTTCCTTCGTGTTCAAATATCTTTGTATCAAGCTACCCGAAGGCCACTTCGCTCAGCTCACGAATCGTTTCTAGAAAGTCTTCTGCTTTGTTGAATCAAAACAGATATTTAAACAGGATTCATTTCTTTGAGTGGAAACCGAAGGTTAGCTTTGGCTCAGGAATCGCATTAAGTGTGTCAGAGGATGACGAAAGTGTTGATAGAATGATCCTGCAGACACATAAACACCAACGAAAAAGGAACGATCAAAACAAACTGGTAAGTATACACGCAGTCCTTTGGATACCCACCTACCAATAAATTAAAATACATAAAATATCGTAAAAACATTCAAACGTTCTATGTAAAAAAAATGTAAATGTAAAAAGGAAAACCGGATATGAAAACATTTTTCCTTTACAATTCACCACTATCTTTTTTAATGCAGGACTAGTAAATGCAGTAAATAACGGGTATTTGAAAACAAATAACCAAAAAATAAATACAAATTAAAGGAAAACTATTGGAGACGACGATAGCAGCCTTTAAAAATGACAAAAAATAGCCCCAAAAACTCTCTCTCTCTCTCTCTCTCTCTCTCTCTCTCTCTCTCTCTCTCTCGCTATCCATCCATTTTCAAAAAGGCTTATCCTGAACAGGGTCGCGGGGGGGCTTTGCTGCAGCCTCTCCCCGCCGACATCGTGTGGAGGGCAGATGACACCCTGAACTGGTCGCCAGTCAGTCGCAGGGCAATATACAGCTTGTGAATCGCTTCATTGCTTTCACAGTTTAAGCAAACAATTAAAAATTATGTGGAACAAGTCGACAAAAATTTATCGTAACTCTCCGTTGGATTCTTTAAATGATGCATAAACATTGCTTTACTTTACCTTTATCTGAATTTTATTTTTAACCCACACTCCAAATATCTTTTCAAACCGCTTGGTTTTCGTGCATTTTAAAAACATTCACGGTGATAAATCTGGACGATTCGGATCACATTTCAACCAACAGGATTCACTAAACTTGCAACAACATGCTTTCAGTACGAGCTGAGCGTTGCCATCATCTGCAAAGTTCCATTCAAATTCATTTATTGAGGCCAAGACATGCAACTGAGTGAGGATTAGTCCTCTAAGTGCAAATCTATTTAATCCTCCGAGAGAGAGAAAGAGGAAGAGGCTATGATAGATCAGATTTGTGGAAGATCCAGATGTTTACACTGCAAACCACGAGGTCATTCACAGTCGGCCATACGACGCCGTGTGTTTCGCAAAAAACACACCACAAAATCATCTCAATCCATGCAGGGTGAGATCAAGGGAGGGTTTACGGGAAGGTTTTCCACTAATGCAATATTAACATTCAATTTCCTTTGGAGCAATATGATTGACATTGCTGAGGTTAATAAGTGCACGCAGCTCATTTTGGGAAGCTCCCTCAGCTCGAGTCGGATCAAAATAAAGACGTACTCCTGGAGGATGGGCTGCCTGAGGGTGCTCTTCAGTGGTGTTATATCGCCCTCTACTGCTGATATTGATAACTGCAATACGTCCAGATGTTTGTCTTGAATCATATTATGTCTTTGTTCAATGTCATCATTTAGTATCCTGTGGTTCCTTCATTTTGTAAACAATATTTTTTCTCTTGGGATTCACATGATTTTGTCGTGTTCCTCGGACTGCTCTGCGAACCACAGTGTGTGGTGATAAAATTAAAAGAAAAAAAATCTAAAATTTTTTTGTCTACAAGGTGTTTTTTGGTCAAAACGAATCATTTTGATCATGTCCATTCTAATTTCATCATAACGGTGGTGTCTCAAAAGCACCTTATGGCGTCACTGACTCATTTGGTATATATTAAGTATTTAAGAGTTAAGCAAACATTGGTATCAAAATCTCCATTGTACACTGTACACTGGAAAGTTCCATGATTTTTTTTTTGTCAACGATGACTCATGGATTTAACTATAACCAACCAATCACGTCACATGATCTGATTAAAAAAATTGTTGAATATAACATTTGTAAAAATGTCATGTTTTTTTAAACAGTGTGTTTACACTGTAATATATAATTATCTATATTACAGTATATAGATAGATAGAAATACAGTTTAGTAAGGCATTTTTACCCGAAAAATTGACCATGTACAGGCAGACATTTTTAGCCACAAAAAACGACCATGGAAAGTAAGGCGTTTTTAGCCGAAAAAAATACCATGCAAAGGAAGGCGTTTTTAGCCGAAAAAATCCCGACTATGTATAGTAAGGCAATTTTTAACTGAAAAAACGACCACGTATAGTAAGGTGTTTTTAACCGAAAAATCGACCATGTATTGTAAGGCATTTTTAACCAAAAAAACGCCCATGTATAGTCAGACATTTTTAGCCCAAAAAAGACAACCATGTATAGTAAGGCATTTTTAACCAAAAAAAACCCCCGACCATGTATAGTAAGGCATGTTTAACTGAAAAATCGACCATGTATAGTAAGGCGTTTTTACCTGAAAAAACGACCATGTATAGTAAGGCTTTTTTAGCTGCCAAAAAACGACCGTGTATAGTAAAGCATTTAGCCCCAAAAACGACCATGTATAGTTAGGGGGTTTTAACCCCAAAAAACGACCGTGTATAGTAAGGCGTTTTTATCTGAAAAAAATGACCATGTATAGTCAGGCGTTTTTAACCGAAAAAACGACCATGTATAGTAAGGCCTATTTAACCGCCAAAAATCGACAATGTATAGTAAGGCATTTTGAGCAAAAAAAAAAAACCAAAAAAATACCATGTACAGGAAGGTGTTTTTAGCCGAAAAAACTCCGACTATGTATAGTAAGGCAATTTTTAACTGAAAAAAAAACAACCATGTACAGTAAAGCGTTTTTAACCGAAAAAAAACGGCCATGTATAGGAAGGTGTTTTTATCCGAAAAAAATGACCATGTATAGTCAGGCGTTTTTAACCGAAAAAACGACCATGTATAGTAAGGCGTTTTTCGACGAAAAAAACGACCATGTATAGTAAAGCGTTTTTAGCTGAAAAAATGACCATGTATAGTAAGTCATTTTTAGCCGAAAAAAAACGACGATGTATAGTAAGGCATTTTTAACCAAAAAAAAACACCATGTATAGTAAAGCATTTTTAACTGAAAAAACGACCATGTATAGTACGGCATTTTTATCCGAAAAAAATGACCATGTATAGTCAGGCGTTTTTAACCGAAAAAACGACCATGTATAGTAAGGCGTTTTTCGACGAAAAAAACGACCATGTATAGTAAGGCGTTTTTAGCTGAAAAAAAACGACCATGTTTAGTAAGGCCTATTTAACTGCCAAAAATCGACAATGTATAGTAAGGTATTTTGAGCTAAAAAAAAACCCCAAAAAACGACCATGTACAGTAAGGCGTTTTTAACCAAAAAAATGACCATCTATAGTAAGGCGTTTTTAGCCGAAAAAAATACCATGTACAGGTAGGTGTTTTTAGCCAAAAAAACTCCGACTATGTATAGTAAGGCAATATTTAACTGAAAAAAACAACCATGTACAGTAAAGCGTTTTTAACCGAAAAAAACGACTATGTATAGTAAGGTGTTTTTATCCGAAAAAAATGACCATGTATAGTCAGGCGTTTTTAACCGAAAAAACGACCATGTATAGTAAGGCGTTTTTAGCTGAAAAAACGACCATGTATAGTCAGGCATTTTTAACCAAAAAAACGACCATGTATAGTCAGGCATTTTTAACTGAAAAATCGACCATGTATAGTCAGGCGTTTTTAACCGAAAAATCAACCATGTATAGTAAGGCGTTTTTTGCTGAAAAAAGGACCATGTATTGTCAGGCTTATTTAGCTGCCAAAAAAAACAACCATATATAGTAAGACGTTTTAGCCCCAAAAAACGACCATGTATATAGTAAGGCCTATTTAACCCCCAAAAACGACCATGTATAGGAAGGCGTATTTAACCCAAAAAATTACCATCTATAGTAAAGCGTTTTTAGCCGAACAAAACCGACCATGTATAGTGAGGCGTTTTGAATCAAAAAAATGACCATGTAC